TGTCATTTTAAGATGGTTAATATCTTTTATATCTATTTGTCGCATTTATCACCATATTTTGATAAATGCATTTAATACCGGTGAAAGGGCGATAACTTGTGCATTCTAATTATAGTGGTTAAAATGCTTGAGTCTAAGGGTTTTAAATAAATGACGTAATATTATTAAGCACCTTATGACGATGCTTGTCATAATCTACCAAAAAATCTAGAAGAGTAGACATGTTGCAAAATTTCTCCCACCCACCCTTCCCTAAAATTTGTGTACATGTTTTTTTTTTTTTCTTTTTTCTCTTCTGTAATTCTAGTGACAGAAGCATATTCCTAAATGGAAAGTGTGGTGTATGTGGAACACCCAAGCAGTTGGAATGAGAATCAAAGGAAGGATGTAGTCATTATGTATATGGTGGGACCATATGGTGTTCCTCGGACATTTTCTGTTGTAACAAATGATTCAATACTGAGTTTTATTTGACATTTCTAAGGTGTAATACATAATCATAAGTCAGTGTCATTGGTGATAGTTGATGATTATGTGATATGTACAGTGTTACTGTACAGTGCTATTTTTTTCTCAAAGTATCGCAAGCAACATAGCGTGTATACATGTTATGTTGGGATTATGGTAACGTTCTTTAAGTCACAATCTGGGTTGGGGGCGGCGGAGATCGGGGATTACCACGAGTGATGATTTCTACCATGTCTGGCTCAAAACTCTGGGTAATCTATCCTCAGCACTGGGGAAGATTTTGGTGTTACCACACCGTGCCTGAGGGACCGGCTTGATCCTTGTGATACCAAGGGCAGGTTTTTGTGGTCTACGGTACCCAGTTACCCCTGGGGGTGTTATCCTCATGTTGTTGTTGTTGTATTCCAGGGGAGACAGGTATAGAGTGAGGACCTGGGTCAGAACTTGAATTCATTCATGTGCCATTCACTCTTAGCGCTCCAGGTCAGTCGGCAGGTAGTGAGTCCTTGGATTCCACCGGGGGTTTTACATATATGTATAAATAGATTGTGACAAACACTTGCCACAAAATGTAATCTTTGTTTTACAATAAATGTGATTAAAGTTAATATTTGTTTCTATTCATTGCATCTGGGATTAATATACCTTTATGAAGATACAAAGCGGTTTTAGTAAATGTTCAACCAAGCCTCTTTCTCTACTCTTCACTTAGATTTTAAAATTAGTGAATGAGAAACTTAATAGTACTGTGCAATAGTATATTCAAGACGTGGTGTATATCACATATTGACACGACAAAATTCAAGGGATTCTTTTGGAAAACTTAAAATAACAAGATTTTCCAAAATTAACAGCTTAAAACATATGACTTTTCAGTTTTGATCACAACTATTTCCAACGATAAATAAAAGTTCAAGCGTTTTGATATCATTCGTCATTTGTAAAATTATTTTGTTAAAACATTCCTATTGCACACATTTTCTAAAGTTGACATAAAAAAAGATGCTTGAATTTATTATTAACAATATCTAAATGGTTTTCGGAGACAAGGTCTTCCATCAATCTACTGAAAATCTAATAGGTACAAATAGAGCCCGTTGTTAGTAGACTTTTTCTCGTATTTTCTCGTTATTAGCAGAACAATTTTTGTATTCATATGAAGCATCATTTGTCCAAAATCCAACACGGGAAAAGAAGAAAAGACTCTCTGTGGCCTTCAACTCGTCGTTTATCGACGATGTATTGTCAATAAACAATGGTTATCTCCATTCTCATTTCGACATAATATATTAGGGTGAGCTTCAGATAAAGATATCATAGGGTCTGACAATTCTGTTTCATACTTGGATATTTTACTTGAAAAGACTTTAATGGTTATCTAATAACTAAGCTCTATAATGAAGGTGATGGCTTTAACTTTTCTATCTTTAACTATCCATACTTTTGCTGCAAATACCTTCTCCACCTGCATACAGGATTTATATCTCATAGGTGATTCTGTATGCAAAAGCATGCTCTACATATGCACATATACACAATTTCTTAAAGCAGGTTAATTATTGATGAACAAGTTGATGAAACAAGAATATCAACAGAATTAGAAATTTAGTAAGTCTTGGTGAGCTTGAGATAAAAGATACCACAGAGTCCGACACTTCTGCTTCATACTTGGATATTTTACTTGAAAAAGACACTAATGGTAATCTAACAACCAAGCTATATGATAAACGTGATGACTTTAACTTTTCTATCGTCAACTTCCCTTACTTATGTAGCAATACACCTTCATCACCCGCATTCGGAGTATATATCTGTCAGTTGATTCGATACGCAAGAGCATGCTTTACGCATGAATAGTTTCTAAAACGAGGTAAATTATTGACAAGCAAGTTGACGAAACAAAAATATTAGCAGTCCTGTTTAAAGTCATCATTTCGTAAGTTCTATGGTCGATACAATGGCATTGTCAGCAAATACAGTTTATCATTGAGTCAAATGCTGACTGACGTTTTTGATACCAATTGTTAAGTCCATTATTTATACACTGATTTAATGACAGATTTTTCCCGTTATTTCCTGATCATAACAAGGGCGGGTGTGACCGGTCAGCAGGGGATGCTCACTCCTCCATGGCACCTGATCCCACCTCTAATATTCCGGGGATCCGTGTTTGCTCTACTCCTATTTTGTATTGTTTTATGGACTTTGAGACTGAATACTGTTTGTTATCTCCATATCCTTCTTTGCTATCTGGTCACATCCGCCCAATGCTCCTCGTCATGATCAGGAAATAACAAAAAAAAAATCCGTCGTCATTCCAGTGTATTCCAGTGTATGAATTAAGGACTAACAATTAGTATACGAAATTATGACATTAAAGAAGATTGCTAATATTTTTGTTTCATTAAGTTGTCTGTCAATATTTGTCAATAATTTACCTCCTTTTATAAACTGTTCACACGTAGAGCATGCTCTTGTGTACCAAACAACAGAAAGGTATAAAGTCCATATGCAGGTGATGAACATTTTCTCTAAAAAATGAAGTTATGAGGTACATTTTGTTCTTGATAAAAGCATTCTACATATCACTACTCTCTTTTTTTCCCTTTAAAATATTCCGAGGCTGACAATTATAAGTGGTATAGGAATGGGTATTTTTGTAATTAATGAAATATCCTGGTCGCTTTTTGATTGATTTAACTTTTGATAAAATTAAATTGCAACCAAACGTAACATCTGGATTATGCAAAATGTGTTCTTAAGAGTGTTTAAACTGTATCAATAGCTTCAGCCATGGTCTCGTTTGAATTGAAAGAGAATATATTTCGTACATTTTTCTTAAAATGAACTTTGTTGCGACCTTTTCACATCCAATTGCAGTTTACGAAAATATTTTGTGTAGTGATGATGTCAATGTTGATTTCATCTGCGATGGAAACGAATCTTGTCATTGGAAAAACTTGGCGTCACAAAGGTGTATATGTTCAAGATTACATCAATGAATGTGATCCTGTAACCACAGTTAAGAGATAACTTAATATGGTGTTGAAAATAAAAAAAGTAAAACGTATATTAAATTTTATTTACAGTTAGCAAGTATATTTCCTCATTGATTGCCACAGTGCTGCATAAGGGTACATGTGTATTTAAATAAATCATCTTTCAACATAACGTAAAATGTCGATTGTCAATTGACTGGTCAACAGAGGATTCTTTCTCGTATTAGGGACCTGGCCCCAGGATCATTCCGGAGTCAAATTTTCAACCGCTTTTAAATTGTTTATTTTTGTAAATAAAATTAATTTGAAGACAACAACTCTTTAATAGAGGAGTACTGTAATATATTATTTTTTTTATTTACTTGATATTTTTAACGGTTTAGTAAAAGAAAACAGTTTGATTTAAGCTTCCTTTATTTCTGTTGTTAATATTCTTTTAATAAGAATTGTCACTTTTTCTTTTGGTCACCTTTTTTATTATTCATGCATAAACTGCAAAAGAAAGGAAACAAATTACAACACTATGAAAATGGTTACATTTTTGTATAATAGTGAGGAAGACTAAGATTTCTTCGCCCATGAAAATCATATTCCGCAAGGGCAACACCCCAGGGGAATATGATTTTGATGGGCGAAGAAATCATCATGTCTCCCGTACATTCATGCAATAAATTGATTATTATACCAATTCAAACGCAGTGCAGAAAATATCAAGAAAATTCAATAAAGAAACATTTGTAGAGTGATAGCTATATCTTTAGATAACGTCATTGCATTATATTCATGCATATACATAATCCTCTGAAGTAATCCTGTGTTGCTGATGTCACATGTAGCATTTTTTTTTGCTAAGAAGGTGTTCGATGTTAATGGTTTATGTTTAATAGGTTAGATATGGCGCTATCCGTAACATTTAAACCTCTTGGAATTGTAAATTTTGGTATCCTTGCTTCCAGTCGCCCATTTTCCTCCTATCTGTGCAACATTCAGATGCAGCAATTTAAGGAAGAGTCATTTTTCAGATAAAACAAGATTCAAAATATCGAGGACCCTCGCTTTGGATGGCCCCTTTGTACCTGAAGGAATTGCATCAAAATTCAACAAATGAAACTTGAGATAAAACATTTGGGGGAAATTTTGCAAAATCATGTCTTTTCGTCTCTGAGACTTGTAGAATAGCAGCCTTTCCATATAAAAACAAAAGATATGACAAAGCTTTCAAATATTTTTCAGTGCAATCTTCCTACTAAGCGTTTAATTTTTTGAAGATTATTTCATACTTTAAAATTTTATATTGACATTATTACTCAATGATATATATAATCTATGTCAGTAAGAATCATCTTAGTAGCTGCATTGTGACGCCAAATTCATGAAACACGAAGATTTGTTGCAGGGCAAAATCGATAAACACGTGACTGTCTCGGCCAATTTGATATTATCTAATTAGTGGTTTAATAAATAACAATCCAAAGGTAAGAGCAGGACTTAAGTATATGCAGACAAACAGATAAATAAGCCAACAGACAGACATACAAATCAAAAACTTTATTTTCTATGTATCTTGTTACAAAAGCTTTGATTGGTTACAGAACGGATGTAAATCTCCAGGCAGCCGACTTGAGCCGGTGGTAAATAAAACGTGAATTCGAAACAATAAACTTTTTTCTTTGATAAGAAAAATACGAAAGTTACGATGCATTGTAGTTCGTAGTTATTTTATCAATTGATTGAGACACAGTTGAGAATTTTTAAGGTTACATAGGAAATGGATTCGTTTATAAAGGCTTATCAGGGGAGTACTGTGATATACCACGGGTTGTATTCTTCAGCCTCAGGTTGTATGGAATAAAACCCGGATTAAATACACGTATACGATTCAGAGGGCAAAAAATATTCTTGAAAAAAAGATGATAAAATCAAATACATATGAATCTAAGATTTTGACAAGCATGATTAGTATTTTTTTTTAATTTTATAAACATGTATACAAGGAATATCGGGTGTCAATTTTAGTTTTACAATAAAAATCCAGAAAAAGTTGCAATTGGATTTCCATTATCTGAATAGAGTCGAGGCGATGTTACATATGCAGCTACCCATATCCGATCACCTTTGATCAATTCAAGACTGATCATGTTAGAAGCTGCTGAATATACAGATTTTGAATCTCCACGTGCACCAATGACAACCTGAGAAACTCCATTTTTATTTATTTTTACCCAGGAGTTGTGTGATTTTTCTGACATGATAGAGCAAAAGAATACATATGTTCCGTTTATGGGGGCAGTAAATACCCCATCACTTGGGTTATAAGCATTTCCCTTATTGGTTATTACATGTGGAAATACAACTGTTTGGGAGGATCCAATAGCTGTTGTACTTTTAATCACTGCTGTGAACACGACTCCTGTCCTTTGGAGACTACGAAACTCTGGAAATTAATGCAAATGAAACCTTATTAAGTGAATTCTAAAATCATCATTATTTTTGTCTTATTTAGTTAACTGTCAATGTATGTGAGTGTGAGTGTAGATAAATACATGGATATATGAGGTGGTGTAGGGGGAGTATGTATTTTTTTTTGGGGGGGGGGGGGCGGGGGTCCCAAATAACGCTTACCTTATTCTTAATAATGTCAATTGAATTGCTTGGCAATGGTAATGTCATAACAGGGGCATATAGTGTTTGTCATGTCTGTCTTCCGTCCATCTGTCACACTTTGCGTTCAGCTCTGTTTTAAAGAAGCTATCCAAGATATTTTCATCAAACTTCATATGCTGATAGATATTAATAATGGCTATGCAACTGCATCAACATTTTTAGACCAAAATGCCATCATTGTTGTGCTTCTATTTTTTTTCCTTTCAACTGCTCAGAAAACAATACATAATTGCGCAAATGCTTTATAATTCTACAAATTAACAATTGCTGATTTGTTCTACCATCTGATTTATTCAGATCCTTTCAACTTGATAAACTACTTTTGTAATTTTTGATAAAGCGATCACCGTAGGACAGAATCCTAAAATATTTATGTAATGATTAATTCTTATTTTTTTTTCATATCTTATATAAAGCGTTAAATTATATTCAATTTGATAGTTAGCACTTGCTGAAATATCAGCTTTACGAGTACATTATTTTATTTCCTTTTAAAGATTTGTTCAATAATTTACCAAACAAAGCTCCTATTCCGTAAGAATATAAGGATGTTTCAAATGCATGTAAATAATAGAGAATTGCAACTAGTGGTTTATTTAGAATAAGTGTAAAAGATGTTTCATTTCATTGTTGGTTATATCAACACATTTATTTAAAGATGTATGTTTTATTTTCATATATTTAGAAAAAAATGGGAATTTAAATTCTTAATCGTTGTTATAAATATCTGGGAAAGAACTTTATTCAGTAATAACCAATATTTGCCCCCCAAATTAAACTTTGATGGAGATATATTTAATTAAGTTCTGAAACAGGGGAGTATATGCTGAGTTCAAAGCACTGAATATTTTCATAAGTAATGGCGCCAAATGTACGTAATGACGTCACAAACATGACGTTAATTTCAGTTTTTTATGAATTTTACAGAAAAATGCATATATTTCGTCGATATTTTGAGTAAAAGTCACCAAGCGCATGTGTGTTCAGGATCCATATTTTGATATAATGTGTAGAATGATAATATCAATGAAATATGTCAATATTGTTCCTGAAGAAACTTGCTCTTTATAAATCTTAAAGCCAAAACTGTTGAAATTTTGCTCATTTTTTCCTCTTTCTGAAAAAGGATATGAAATCGGACCTGTTTGTGACGTCATAAAAACAAAAATTGTGAATACACTGCTTTGACACTATAATATTTTCTGTCAATTTTATATTTCTCGTACAATTTTTTGAATTCAGCACATTTCAGGAAGTTTTCAAAATTTGACTTTTGTGGGGGCAAATGTATGCAATATACCGCATATAGTTCTTTAATTTAAATATTCTACTTTGGGATGTCAAAGTATTAGAATTATAATAATTGGAATATTTTGACAGTAATTTGATATGCATCTTTTTTTTAAAGAATATATTAATATCTATTGTATCATATTGATTATGCATTTAGGAACATTCAAATTCAAATTTTATGTCTTTTATCTCAAGAAAGCCTATAACAATAGTCCTTAAGCTTAAATCATTTACTGATAATTTCATTTTAGTTCTATTTTTCTACATTTTTCAAATCATTATCTGCTATATTTTCACATGTTACTTACCAGTCCATTGGGACCATTTGAACGTGAACTCAGTTACGTCCTCGTTAGCTTTTTCAAGAGATTTATTAACATAGGCGGATAAAATATTCAACGTGTCTTCTGTTGCAGCGACCCGATAGACGATGTTATTTTCACTGATTACCTGTAAGGTATCACTGATCTGATTTAGCTTTTCATCCAAAATCTTCAATTCTCGTTTCAGCTCCACGTTTTCCACCCTTATTTGCTGGTCTTTGATCTCCAGATCCTGTAAATCATTTTTAAGACTCGCGAGTTTTGTCTTCATAACTTCCCGATTGTTTTTATTGTCTATGGCATCCATGACCAAGTCCTGGATTCTTTGTACCATTGAGAAACGTACAAGGCTCTCCTGATTTAGAATTTCCCTTAAGACATTGGACGCTTTATCCGATGCGGTACTAGGTACCAAACCATTTTTATCAGATGTCTTGTTCTGGGGTAAGGATACCTGCCCAAATGTTTCATACACGCACAAAGAAAGTACTAGACATGGTACGTATAAAGCTCCCATCTCTGTGGCTTACTTGTTTCTATCTGAAACTGCTTTATTTAATAGGCAAGGAAGAACTTCTTATTTATTTTGCAAACCGCGAGAGGTTGCGCATGACACAATATTTAAAACATAAAACGTTTTGCCGAAAGATGGATTTTGATTGGTTGTTAGTAAATAATGTAAAACACGTAAAATCTAAAAGATGCTGTGACATCCCTAAATTTGTTGATTTATGTACTCATTTATAATGGGTATATGCTTCCATTTAAACAACGAGATTTTATGTGTTTTAAATGAAACTGGGTAAGACAATTGAGAATAATTTCATGCATTTATAATATTATCTTTATTTAAAAATATAAAAACAGTTCTTAACCTTAAATTTTATAATAGTATTTTCATTAATGCTTTTGGGTTAAAAGATTTTTTGATAATGTATTCTTAAACCATACTGATTAATGTTATATGTTTTATGCAGCGAGTACACCCACACTCTTCTTCCTCTATCTCTTCTTGTGTGCACTTTAAATAATACTAGACAAAAGTAACTTAAAAGACTTAAAATCATTTTATATTTCGATCTTAACTAACAGATCGACAGTATGCTCATCATAGAGTTCATTTTTACTTAGAAATGAGAACTTCATTAAAACATTAACAACTGTTCACTCCTCTGGAAAATGTAGGTCACTGACCAAGCATCCGAAGCAAGTGTGGTTGTATTAATTTACATATTTTGTATTATATAGAAATAAAGCTTTTGCACCTAAGACCAGTTTGTTTCAAATGTATATATGTTATTCATTTACCATTGTGCAAATATTTTGGTTTGGATGAATATAGTGAAGTGAACATGTACTAGTATCCATAATTTACTTATTCACAATCAATTCGCTACATATCAAAAGCATTCTTAGACTCAGAAAAGAGAAGCCCGAACAATTTAATAGAGTGCACTTTAAAATGTTTTGCTATTCTACTTAAAATGTTTTGCTATTCTACTTATATATTTATTCATTATTCATAATAAATATTCCCAAGATTTGTTTGACCGTATATATGTAAATATTCTCACAATTACTATTTCAGTTGATATTCTGGTAATGCTGAAGTGTTATATTAATTACTAAACTTTTTAATTAAAAAATTGAATATGTTTGAGGAAATGGGTTTCAAAATAAAGCTTAGTTCGATCATTCTTAATGCAGTTAACATAACGTCATTAGATTTCAAATAAATTTATATATGTTTACAGAATTCGGATTTAGATATTATATGCTGGATTTGGTCTGGATATTTTACTACATCTAAAAAGTAAGTCTACGTCATAGGTTTTTATCTCTAAGTATGTATTTTAACGGATTTGAATGATTTCCATGTACACAATTGAAATATTTGCTTATCTTACGAGGGTTGTCCGGAAAATCGTGGACAAAGCGTATTTCTCGAAAAATAATGGAGACACTAAGCTGAAATTTTTAGTGAACGTTTATTCATCATATTTAAGTGCATTATAGTTTTTTTTTTATAAAATATAAACAAAAATAAAGATTTTATTATGCTTGAATGTGCACAGGGTCCTACGGCGCACGGTCAAAAACGAAGGTTTTATTAGAAAATACTGAGTATAATATTTTGAAATAAAAGATTTAAATATGTATGTAAGATTGGGGTAAAAATTATCCTTATTCGATTACGTAATTCATTTTGTCTTGTTTTAAAAAATTCAAGACCTTTGGTCAATGTTTGGCCGTTTCCTGAGCATTCGACATAGAAAAGTGGTGAACACAACGAACAATGGTGACTTTTGATGACGTTACGGCGTACCGGAAAGCAGTTCGCTTTGATTTAGATGGTTAATAACACCGCAAGAATTTAAGTGAATGCAAAAGAAAAAAAAACCCTAACATTACCTGATCTTTAGTATAGAAATGAAATGGGAGTTTTCTTTGTAAAGTCTTTATTGATAGATTCCCGAGGTAGTACAAAACATACGGACAAACCGCTATATTGTTACAGCAAAAGACGACGTCACTGTTGATCGTCAATATAAGATTGTTATATAAAAGATTAGTTGAATGATGGTTGGAATATTGTCCGTATATTACTAATAAATCCTCAGAAGATCGCAAGTTTGTGCCAGATTGATCCCTTAATAGCTTATGGAAATTAAAGTATGTGCATCTATGAAAATCCGAAAATTAAGTGGGACTAATCCAACTTTACTTTAAGCGCAAAAATGCAACGTGACGATGTTTTAGACACTTTGACGTTATCATCCGTGCACCGTAAGGCGATACAATACATAACATAAAATTTCATAATTCGTATATTTATGCATATATCTATTCGCAGTACAGTTAATGTGCGCAATGGAAATATCGACTAAATTTTGTATTATGAATGTATTTGTAATCGGGATGGCGATCATTTTTGGTACATTATTTATATCGGATAATTGTTATTATGATTAATAACTACATTTCGAGGACGATTATATTTTATATTGAGACAAGTCACGTGATGCGACAGTCAAGCGATTTTAGCACATTGACTTGAAGTATTGATGTAACATATAAATATCACTAGTACAAGGGCATAACCAAGTTAGATTTCCAAGTTTTGTATATGAATATTTTCAACGCGCATCATTGTTTCTAAAAAGTGCTGAGATCCTTTCTAAATTCTGCAATTTCATTGTTAAAATTATACTTGTATGATCGAATGCTATATTTTTTGCTGGTCAGCGGCATGAAATATTGATATAATTAAATCGTTTTTAAGATTTCATCAGGATCGCAGCACTTTCCAGATACCTTAATAGTTCTATAGTTAAAATGTAAAAGCTGACTTTGATCCATAGAGTGTATGCCCTTGCACTAGATCGATTTATTAAGACCCCCACATTACCCACCGATGCACTTGCATACAAATATACGGCAGTGTCAATTAAATACGTAATGTACAGAAAATATATTAAGAAAATAGTGAAGAAGACATTAAACACAAGTTATTGGCCCACAGAATATCTGTAAATAATATTTTATTTAATTAGAGAATACATATTTTGTCGAGAAAATATTACTTGATCTGTCTCTCACTGCATACAATCTACGTCACGTTGTATAAGAAATGACGTCATATTGACAAGTGTATTGCGATCAGTGACTTGTTTATAACTTGTGATGTGGGATTTAATTAAGGACAAAAGAACACGCTGTAGTAAGTTTTTATGTAGTTTGATGATTTCTTACTGGTTAAATTAGCAGATAAACTAATTTTGTGGTATCTTAAAGAAATGCTGTATGACGCATATTGTGTAGAATGTCATGGTCAAGTTTTCCCGTACAGATTAGCCTCCGCCTCCTTTTTGTAACCTTAACTGTGCTGCGTATGCAATTTGCTATGTTTATTCAGGAAATATGTTCTAAAAAGTAGTGAAAATTTCAGAACACAGTGATGATAATTATTCACGCGAGACAATTTGTCTACGATTTTACCGGAAAATCCTGACGTATACACAGTTTTGAAAGATTTGGATCATTCATAATGCACTTAGAAATAAAACATTTTCAGCTTGAAGTTAGCGGAGGTATAATATATGGATATTGTGTGTGAAGTGACATACTACTAAAAAAGTTATGCATCTAGACAGTTTATCTTATTTTTTGACATTTCAATTTGCTCATTATGTCTAGGTTCTAAAGTGAAACATCCATTAAGCTAACAAATGGAGTAATTACTTCCTACATAACAATTAACTCAAATTGTTGCAAAATAATAAACCTGACAACTGATATTCTTGCTTTCAATTCAGTTTAACATCAAATAAAATTGTACAACGCAATTGAAAGGAGGCATTGACTTTGTTTATGCATGTTTTACATGTATATTCTTTAAAAGTAAGTTTACCTTCAAACACATTGAGGCATTAACAAATTAAAAAAAGGTACGAGTAACATTGAGTACATCTCTCTCTCTCTTTCTTTCTCTCACACACCCTCTCTCACACACCCTCGCACACACACACATTTTAGGTCATGAAATGTACCCATACAGTGACTGAAAAATCCTATAATTTAAATTTCTTCTTCTCAAGAAATATTGTGCCTTTGAGTATGACCGAGCGAAAAGAACTTCCACCCAGTAAGTATAATTTTCCAGGCATATCAAAATTTGTGAACTAGCGTCATTTGAGGTACATCGATGAATTTTTGATTTAACATTTAACAATAAAGCAATACATAAAATGAACTATAAATCATATTTTTTTTTATAAATTGTTACTGTTTTTGTCATCATTTGTATGTCCAGAAGGTGCAACCATGAACAAGGCGTATATTCTCTCTAATTGAATCTGAGAAACACTTTTTTGTTATGAACATTTTGTCACCCGAAATTCATATATATTCACACATGTGTTATAACATTGTCCCCTTAAATTTGCCATTTTTACTTTAAGTCCAATAAACAATACAAAAAAGGAGCAGAGCAGACACAGAATTTTAAACCATTAGAAGTGGGATAAGGTGTCATGGAGGAGTGAAGAACCCCTGCCGACCTGTCACATCCGCCGTGCTCTTTATCGTGATTGGGAAATAACAAATTTGTCACAGTAGCAGGTGTCAGTCGTGTGATACATATTACCTGTGCGTATTCAGACCTCTTCTGGATTAGTGATAGAAATAATAATTTTATCTTGACAAAGTCATCTAGTGATAAAATTTATCAACAAACAGACATAAACATGCAGTTATATGCAGAATTATGGAGTACACACAGTGGAATTCACACATGTACAGGTCTCGCTAATGAAAAGAAAATGTCCTTCCCGAGATAGATAGGTGTCGCTGTACCTCAAGATTTTGTAGAGCAGTTACCACAAAAAGTGAAATTTTGTTTCGCTAATGAAAAAAATGTCCTTCCCGAGATAGATAGGTGTCACAAAAACTTAATGAACGAAAATAAGTGACTAGATATATACATGTATTAACAAACATAAATGTAGTTCTAATAAAGGTATAGACCCAGGGCTGCTGGACAGGTTACTAGTATTCTAATTAATAATTCTTTAACAAATTACATGAACACATAAATACAGACAGAACACTAATTGAAGTACATCTATTGTTTTCAAATAGGAGAAAGAGAAGAAAATTGTCATTAGATTGTAATATTTGGAAAAGAAGAACGTTTTTCATTCTGATTGTTAGTCCATTATTTACAAACTGAATTGACAACATTTTCTCGTTATTGCCCGATCATGCCAAGGAGCACACAGCGTCTGTGACCGGTCGACAGGGAATGCTCACTCCTCCATCTGATCCCATCTTCGATGTTTTGGAGACCCGTGTTTGCTCTGCTCCTATTTTGCACTGTTTTATGGACTTAGATATTGAATATTGTTCCTTATTTCCATATCCTTAGTTTCATAAACTTATTAGATACATGGGCAGAATTATAAAGCGACACACAGGGGAGTATGTGACAGGACATATAGAATCTTAATCTTAATACTTAACATAAGTTGAGTTATGCATACATCATTGATCTTTTTCGGATCCAGTGATGCGTTAATCCAAAAGTAAATCAATATGATGTACTCTGAAACTTTCATTGTAATTCAACTATATATAGTATTCTTGCATTCGAGTAAAAGATGATTTCATTAACGTCATTTATCTGGATTAGTTCAAGCAAAAGAAAAAGCTTTAGAATAGACATTCTTGTGTAGTTCGTTAAAAAAGGTTGTAAATACGAATGAAAAATGTCGTTTGGAGATTTAAAAGTAATTGATAAATATACGAAATATACAGACATAAAAACAGGACTGGAAGTGTGACATTTAAATCATTACTATCATGCATTTGTGAAAAGAACTTTGCGGTATTATTACATTTATTCTGCTATTCGTCATGAGTCATTTTTTTTTCTGTTGAACTTAATCTGATTTAAATGCACTGCAATCAGAAGATTAAGTATTCATAATATGTCTATGACTGGTGCAGGATGTGTCTAAACCGAAAGAAGATGAAATATTTCGAAATAAATAAACTAAACAAAATATTTCCTATGATTCCTTAACAGAAGGGGTAAATCGTGAAGGTAAGCAAGTAATCTTTCCTCGATGATATGTGTTTTTGTCCTGAACTAGTAAACGGAAAAAATACAAGAAAATATTCATTACGGAAATATTGTACGAAGCTTTAGTCGAAGGATTGCCTGTATTTGCTGATAAGGCCTTTGTATCCATCACAGAACTTTAAAAATTATGTCTGTTGATACTCTGTTTTATTTACTTGTTTCATCAACTCCATGATTAATAGTTTGCCTAACTTTAAACAATTGGTCATATCGATAGGGAAACATAAACTTCATATTATACAGGTGATAAGGCTACATTCCTACACAAATAAAAAAAGTTTATAAAGAAAAGTTTAGTTCTTAATGTTTATCATTAAGTTTTGTTTTAGCTTACATACACCGTTGTTCTATGATAAAATCTATATATACACTACGATTCTATTATTTCAAGTTCACGTGGATATAGCTAGTCTTCATATGAATGGCATAAGTATTGTTAATTAAGAAATGAAGCTTATTTGAGCTTATTTTAAAAGTAACGCCAGGCGGATTAAAACGTTTTTGACGTAACTCATTATGTCGTAGGCAGGTTGTGTTATACAAAATGGATAAAATCTTTTACCAAATCAAATGACGTGTAACAACTGAAATTAAATTATTTGCTATTTGCAAAGAATGCATTTCAGAAGCTTTCCATTTTTTTTTTTTTTTTTTTTACAATTTTCCAATTTCTGTTAGAAGATTGTCATCTAACAGACCTTCTAATCATGGGTTCTGGATCAAGCACCCAGTGTAGGAGTCGGAGGTGTTCTCAGTGTCATAGGAAAACAGAATTCTACTGTAACACATGTAATCATGACCTGTGTCTACTGTGTAAAGAGAGACACGTTACAAAATCAGTAACTAAATACCATGAAGTACAGTTTTATTTTACGAGCCAATGCAACAAGAATTTAACTGCGCAGTGTAAAATGCGACAGTGTTTTCAATGTCAGGGGGACACAGAATTCTACTGTAACACGTGTAAACATAGCCTGTGTCTAGAGTGTAAAGAGAGACATATAATAAATTTAGATACAATATACCATGATATTGTGATTTACCGTGAGAAAAATAAAGACCTTACAAAACATGAAACCTGTGAGAGACATCCAGACAGAAACTATGGCAAATATTGTCGGTCCTGTGAGCTTCCTGTCTGTATCCAATGTATAGAACACAAAAAACACAAACTTCTAGACATAAGAACAGCTTATATATTAAACAGACAAAAGTACAAAGAAAATTTTTACAACATTAGAAGTGAGACTCTCTACAACAGCAGTGTTACCCTGGCCAGAATCAAATTTGAGATAAAAATTTGTCACTTTGAAATAGCATACCTGCATTTAAAAATGTCAAGAAAGGCTCAACGTCTTATTGACACTATGATGTGTCATGTTAAAACTATACACAAACAACAGAAGAAAAAGCTGCGCAGTTATCTTCATTACTTATACAACGATGAAGTCGTATCTAAAAAGTTAAGAAAGAGACCGGTTAGATATCTTCTTTTTCTAAAGAAAGCATGCGCCTCCAAAGCCAAGAATACTGTAATTATGACACCAAATCATCTGACCTCTCCAGCTTCAGGAGACATTTTTAAGTTTCTGAGTGAAATCCAGACGGAGGAAAGAAAAGCTAAAGTTGAATCTCTGGTGAAAATGATGCGCACGCCTGTGTTGAAGAAAACTTTTACGATGGATGTTAGAGATGGATATCACATTTCATGTTTGTCTTCAGAGAAGTTTTGGATCAGTGATTTCTGGAAAAACAAAGCCATCCTCACAAACACAGAAGGTGAAAAACTACATCTCCAGAAAGGGATACTCGGTGGATACGGATCACATACAGTGAACAGTGCAGGTGAGCTAATTTATATAGACGAGAGTTATAACATTATCAAACTTTCTGAAGATAACAGATCAAAGTCTAACCTGATAACGAAAACAAAATCATGGGTACCACAATGTGTCTCCTCCTCTACTTTAAATGGAGAGTTATTACTGGTCGGGATGTATAATAATGAGACGTTTACAGAAGGAAAGATAAATCGGTACTCTGCCACAGGAAAGTTCAAACAAACAATACAATACAACGACGAGGGTAAAACACTATATTCGTATCCTAGACACATCACAGAAAACCGCAATGGGGATGTTATTGTGTCTGACAATAAAAGCGTAGTTGTGACAGATCGTGAAGGAAGTCATCGCTTCTCCTACACAGGATATCGAAAAGGATATCCACTATGGCCACGAGGTATCTGTACTGATGCGCTGTCAAACATTTTGGTGTGTAATGATCAAACTAACACAGTACATATGATTGATAAGAAGGGTCATTTTATCTCAGAGTTACTGACACAACAAAGTGGGGCAATATATCAACCAAGAAGCCTGTGTTATGACTACAAAAGTCATCTTCTCTGGATTGGGTCGTTTGAAGATAACAAAGTTAATGCTTACAGATATATAGAGAGGCAGATCTCTGAAAGTTATAATGATTAACAAGGACTAAGACTATTAGACATTTTATGACTTGTTCATAAAGAAATATATGCGGTATATTGCATATATTTGCCCCCACAAAAGTCAAATTTTGAAAACTTTCTGTAAGGTGCTGAATTCAATAAACTGTATGAGAAATATAAATTAACAGAAAATATTATAGTGTCAAAGCAGTGTATTCACAATTTTTGTTTTTATGACGTCACAAACTAGTCCAATTTTACATCCTTTTTCAGAAAGAGGACAAAATGGACAAAATTTCAACAATTTTAGCTTTAGAATTTATAGAGCGCAAGTTTGTTCAGGAACAATATTGACATAATTCATTGATATTATCATTCTACACATTAAATCAAAATATTGATCCTGAACACACATGCGCTCAGTGACTTTTACTCAAAATATCAACGAAATATGTATATGTTTCTGTAAAATTCGTTAAAAACTGAAATTTACGTCATGTTTGTGACGTCATTACGTACATATGGCGTCATTACTTATGAAAATATTCAGTGCTTTGAAGTCAGCATATACTCCTCTGTTTAAGAACTTAATTAAATATATGTCCATCAAAGTTTGATTTGGGGGGCAAATATTGGTTATTACCGAATAAAGTTCTTTATATTGTTTGTAGATTTTTGACATGGATCACTGTTTGTTATATATCATCAACTTTTCCGAATTATACAAAATTTTATTTATGCTTTTGTACAATTATGTTTCCTTTTAAAGAAGTTTAATAAATAGTCAACAATTGATCAGAGCCACTTAACCCTCCTGACTTAAGATCATGGTTGTTACAATGCAAATTATGAAACCTTCTGCTATTTAAACGTTCACATTTAAATTAAAAATAACACTTTAGCATTTCTTGTAGGAACTTAAATTAATCCTGAGTGATTTTAATCGCCATTTTGTATTGTGCAAACATGTTTTTTTACGTTCTTTGCAAGTTTTTATTACGGATATTATAGTTTTACAAGTTGTGTTGTATTTAGATGAAAAATTGTTTGTTAACCAGACAAAATTTAGTTTTTTTTAGTTTGTAAGTTTTAGAACATCTTCTCGTTGATATTTATAATTCTTGTGATCCTTCTCTAAAACTAGAGTTTACAAAACCGGTAAATTCCACATGTTGAAATTGAAAGCATACATTGAGAAGAGAACTAACAACTTTCCCCTATTAAAACGGTTACGAGAGTGAAGGTAAGAAAATTACTTTTACTTTTCATACCTTCATTTTCACTCGTTAAATTTCACTGATAAAGGATAATGATATAGAAAAAAAATCAGGTTTGACGCTGATTTATTTTTTTTCCTTCTTAACGAGGCCGAGTCTAATTCGAGTGCGCATCACTTTGCGCAGCTTTTTAATTTCATGCAGTCATTAATTATTTTAATTTTAATACAAAATTAACATTATTTTTAACTCCTACTGATCTGAAATTGTGATTTTACGACACTTTTTGGAAAATGAACGTTGAAATGGCTCTAACAACGTCACCATAGTTATGTAATTTTACCGTAATATGTCAATTTTAGAAGTATTTGGCTTCGACCTAGACCAATCGAGATGGTGAACTTTTTTTTGTTATTTCAGAATTTGGTGACTTTTTACAATAACTTTCTTCTACTTGAATGAAAAAGAAATCTCTAGGGCAGAAATACAACAAATATGGGGAAAATGTGATATTTTGGCGCTTTTCCAACAAATTCCCATAGGGTCCAATAGTAAAATATGACAACTTTTGAGACTGACCCCCAAAAAATCGGGATGGTAAACATTCGATTTTTCAATCTTAAAATATTAAATATAACTGTAAAAATTAATTATCAAACAATTATCAAAATCCCTAAAGCAGAAATAATTAGACTCGGCCTCGTTAAATATTGAGATTAAAAAGAAACATAATACAGATCGATTCTGACCTTTATATCTAGTTTAACAGGTCGGAGAGAATACTCGAAATAGGGTATTATCCGTGAAATCGCGTATAATACTCGATATTAGGGTATCGTTGAATCCGCGAAATCGGGTATAGGAGGTGTAATCACCTAATAAAACTTAAACAATGTGATGGCGCATGTTGCCGAGTTAACTTTCATCTAAATACACATGTTTTCTAAAGGTATCACTAGCCAAGTAAGAATTTGGGCGTCAAGATTAATGCGCTCGTGACAACAAATACCCGTGGAGCTCAGTACATTTCATGATCTGCATACAAAAAGGCGTTCGATTTGCTTTATATTTTTCCTTATGTTGAAAGTATATGCATCTTCCTAATGTTCATTCCCAACACAACAGAATTGTAAAGTATCAGAATTCGGGAATTTATAATAATTCCACATCAACACGACAAACATGAACAATTTGTAAATAAATCAAATTATACGGAAACACATTTCACACACAAGATATGATGCCATGTATAAACATCTATCGTATCTAATTATGCGTCATTAATTACTTTCATATTCATCTTGTGCATAAAATCAAATTTATTTATGAATGTATAAATAATGTAATGATAAAAATGTCTAAATGTTCGGCTAAAAGAACCTTCTTTCTCTTTTCTTTGAAAATCTTTTCTGTTTTATTTATAATTCAAACATATTTGCAGAATATGTCTTCAACATTTTAGCAGAGACAGTGATAATTTCAGGAATACAGCTTATGAGAGAACATAACTGTTGATCAATCGTTTAATTTCGCTAGGTCATCAATATTTTACCATTTCTTGGCGACTTCAAAAGGGGGGGGCGGGGGGGAGGGCTAAAGGCTTCTTGACCACCTCTGACAAAACAACCTCGACTGAGTTCTGCATTTGTCTAAGAGACCTCTCTTTGAATGTCACGGTCAGTTAAACTCGGTTACATATTTTTAGGGAAGATTTATTCATCAAATAAAAAGCATATAGGTAGACAAAAAGCAACCTGTTATGAATTAATGTTTATTATTTTAACACATTTTTTCAATATAGATGAGTATTAGGAAAAGTTAGGAAAAGTTATTGCCATGAGTAATACGCATCATAGATAAAATAACTTAAAGAAAACTTACATATTGTCTAGAACCAATCAGATAGTGCGTAAGATAGCGATATAAAAAAAATAAAGAGGTAAAATTTACCCTGTCTATCAAATAGTATAATAAAGAAAGGAAGTGGCTACGATTTTTTATGAAATTTTAATGTCCGATGAGGAATTATATTCCCAAAAAGTAAGACAAGAGTTTCCAAGGCAATTGAACACTCTAATATTTCAGTTTGTTCATTAACATGTTCATAAACGTAAAAACTAAAAGAAATGTGAAAACTTGACTATGTAATTCATATTTCAATGTGACTGTAACTCGATCTATATTGAGAAATTCAATGCATTATAAGCTCATGAAAAGATGTATACATTTGACATTTTTTTTATCCCCTCCCCCTCCCCCCCCCCAAAAAAGCAAGAAAATCCTGTTCATATGACTTCTCGCTCTCAATTTTCACTCAAATGCATAAAATAAAGGTTAAATAGCATATCTTGTATCGATTAAAATACAACTAAAAAATTTACGGTGTCTTTGAATAAAAATTTCATGCTAAATTGACATGAAAAAAAGATACTCAAATTCAATTTTTTTAGCTATTTTCAAAATGTTTTCTCGTGGGTATTTATTTAATCTTATTTTATTTTCTTCCTTATTATAACGTTGATATTCTGTTATGGCAGAGATATACAATTATGAATCGCTTATACTATACTATCTAACTGTTAGGAATAATTTATATTTCACGAGAAAGGGACGCCATACATTTTTCAGTAAAAATACATGACACGGCGCTAGTCGTTTAATTTCTTTAAATTTTCACGTTTTGTGAATAGTGCACAAATTAGAAAATTAAGTATATGGAATAACTTAATGGGAAATAAAGACAAACGAAGTCTAGTTTTTTGTTTTTAGAAATTATATTGAAAAATAATAACGCCATTGTGTCTTCTTTGTTTCCCCAGCAGTGTTTGTCGTTTGATTTTAAACTTATTTGATAACCGTATAAATTAGGTTTAATAAAAATAAATCCACAAGATACTGATGTACAAGTAACAGTTACTGGCATAATGCGTCGTTGCTTTATTCTTTAGTTTTTATAGAAAGTTGCACGGAATACCCGATTTCGCGGATTCAACGATACCCTAATATCGAGTATTATACGCGGTTTCACGGATAATACCCGATTTCGAGTATTCTCTCCAACCTGTTTAAAATTACATGTACTTGCAAATGAATCAGTTTTTGACTGTCATCATTAAAAACACACTGAAAAATGAATGGCAAAGACTGCCTCTCAGAATATCAGTGTCAGGATTCTACATGATAAAGGGGGCAATATTTTTGATAATGAATTCAAACAGGAAAAGAGATATTTTTGAGAAGCTTCTTCATTTGACCTTACTGTATAATCTTTAATTTAGAAGATTGTTCATAAAGACCTTGACCCTACCTGTCATGGACCCTCTTGGATTCAGAACCGTATATAAAGTATGGTAGTGTTTGGAATGTCCAAAGGACATGTGTGTAAATTAAAGTATGGCAGTGTTCGGAATTTCGAAATGTTCGACGTGTATAGAGTAAGGCAGTGTTCTGAATGCCTTTGGGATACAGAATTTTCCTGTAACACTTTCAAACTTGACTTGTGTCTACAGTGTAAAGAGAAACACATTATTGATCTGGATACAATATACCATGATGTTGTGATTTACCGTGAGAAATATGAATTTGTCTTAAAACAAGAAACCTGTGAGAGACATCCAGGCAGAGTCTATGAAATGTTCTTTGATTCATGCCACATGCCCGCCTGTGATCAGTGCACAAAACACACGCAGCGTAAGCTATTCGTTGCTTGTTATCAAAGTACAGAACAAAGAGAACATAAAATACATGACATTTAAAAGGCATATTATACAAACCGCCAGCAGTGCAGGAAACATATACTATAGTCTGCCCCACGACCGGA